CTCGATCCCAGGACCCTGAGATCATGACCTGAGCCAAAGGCAGTCGCTTAACCAACTGAGCCACCCAGGCGCCCTATAGTTGTGTTTTTAAATAAAACATTACACATACAATGTGACTTGTTTTGTTAGCAATTTAGCTTATACATCTTTCCAAATCAGTTAAGACAGATCTATATTCACATGGTTGAGGAACAAAAAAGAAAAAGAAAAAAAACAGCATTCATCAAAAATTAAAAACAAAACAAACAAAAAACACAACCTGAAAATATAAAGTACTGGGGAAGGAGCAGAGTGTGACGTGCTGTGTTGAGTGAGATAAGGGAAATCCACATAGAAGATTCTGAGCAAGTCCAGAATCCAGGGACCATTTTAATGTATGATCACCTCTCAACACAGACTACCCCTTGTATTTCTGGCTTATGTTTTTAGGGTGGGTTTTTCTTTTTTGTGGATCATCCTAGTTAACAGAATTACAATAAGGTGTTTAAGGAGCACAAAGAAAAAGTGACACATAAGAAAGACTAGGCTAGGGCGCCTGGGCGGCTCAGTCGTTAAGCGTCTGCCTTCAGCTCAGGTCATGATCCCGGGGTCCTGGGATCAAGCCCTACATCGGGCTCCCTGCTCAGCAGGAGGCCTGCTTCTCCCTCTCCCACTCCCCCTGCTTGTGTTCCCTCTTTGTGTCTCTCTCTGTCAAATAAATAAAACCTTTAAAAAAAAGAATGAAAGAAAGAAAGACTAGGCTAATCTGAGGCAGTTTTGTTGGAGGGCCTGAGCAAGACTGCTATTAAGCAGGATTACAGGAACACAAGGTCCTTTCCTCAGAGAATGCTCAAAATCACTTTTATATTCTCCATCTTGCCACCATCTACCATTTTATGTAACAATTAGATTTCTTAGGTTTTAAACACCATGCAGGGGGAAAAAAAAGATGCCCAAAGATGTGGATGCCAAGGAGAAATAAAACCCTCATCAGAGATTTAACTTCATAATACACTTGATAAAAAAAAACATGAGTGGCTTCTATAGCAAAACACACATTTCCAAAACTGATTACAGAAGAAAAATCCTTGACTGGATCAATGAGTAAAAAACACATTGAAAAGTTATTAAAGACATATCATTCAAAGTGGGGCAGGGGGGGGCGAGCAGACCCATAAGGATTTTGTGAGCAGTTTCTCCTAACCTCAAGCAGCAGATAATTACTATGTTATTCAAGCTATTCCGAGCAGAAAGAAAAAACACTAGTGTTTTATAAAGCCAACATAACTGACACCAAACCCTCAGAGACAACACAAAAAAGAAAAGAATTTTCTCAACATAAATGGTTTCTCACTTTTACACTCTGCAGACTTGCAAAGTAACTTCTAACAGCATATACAATTATAACCAAATTCTAAACACAAAGCATCTGAAGTTTGTTATTGTACCTTGTAAGAAGACATGACTATATAGCAGGAAAAACAAGGAACAGGGTTATGGCAAGGGCACTCTAAACAGCTTCATGGCACAACGCATTCTTTTTTTTTTTTTTTAAAGATTTTATTTATTTATTTGAGAGAGAGAGAATGAGAGACAGAGAGCATGAGAAGGAGGAAGGTCAGAGGGAGAAGCAGACTCCCTGCTGAGCAGGGAGCCCGATGTGGGACTCGATCCCGGGACTCCAGGATCATGACCTGAGCCGAAGGCAGTCGCTTAACCAACTGAGCCACCCAGGCGCCCGGAACAATGCATTCTAATGTACATCCCTAGTCAAGAATGTTTGTGTAACGGCCACATGACCCTATCAGTAGATACTGAAAACACATTTGCTAAAACTCCATAATCACTTCTAATGAAAGAGAGGACTACAATAAATGATAAAATCTATCAAAAACACATTTATCATTCCAAAAGGTGAAATATTAAAACCATTTCAATTAATATCAGCAACTAGGAAGGGATATATCATTAGTTAATACCATCCTGGTGGTTCCAGTCAATGGAATAAGAAAATGAAATAACTGGCTTAACCACTGAATATAAGGAGATAAAACTATTTCTCTTTTGCCATCATTGAATACCCAGAAAACACAAGAGACTCTAATAAGAAAACTATTTAAATTAATAATAAAATAGGGAAGGGGCTCCTGGCTAGCTGAGTCAGAAGAGCGAGCAACTCTTGATCTCAGGGTCATGAGTTCCAGCTCCACGTTGGGTGCAGAGATTACTTAAAAATAAACTTTTTTAAAAAATAAGAAAATAGGGTAAGGTGGCTTACTACAAGAAAAATATTCAAACATTAATAGCTTTTCTTTACATTAGCAATTACTATCCAAAAATGGAAATACAAGGAAAAATTCCATTCAGAATGGCTACAAACATATAAAATATTTAAGGAATAGTAATAAGGTAATAAAGAAGACAGACATGTATGAAGAAAACTATAAAATCTTAGGTAAGGTCATAAAATCTAAATAAAAGACAATCTACATTCTGGGATGGGAAAACTTAATGGTTTTCCCTAAAAATTAATAAATTTTACATAATTCCAGATGGAATAAAGACAAATGTGAAAAAAATTCTAAATGTACTGTAAGGCTGCTGATATATAATAAAGGTGGCATTTCAATTTAGTGGAGGATTTATTTAACATATAGGGAATGACAAGTGACCATCTGGAAGGAGGAAAAAGTTATTAATTCCTCTCATATTACATATAAATTTCAGGTAAATTAATGTTTTTATTTTTCTTATTTTTTAAGATTTTATTTATTTGACAGAGACACAGCGAGAGAGAGAACACAAGCAGGGGGAATGGGAGAGGGAGAAACAGGCTTCCCACCGAGCAGGGAGCTCAATTAGGGTCTCGATCC